TAATGCTTGTCCACATACTGCACGTATTGTAACCAACTGATTAAGCAACGTGTAGCACAATCCCGGACCTGAATCTAAATGGTTCTGACAGCTCAAGGACAATTTCATTTTGTCTATTATATGTTATTTATTATTATAACGTCATACTTTGTGTATTAAATAGTTTTTTCATGTACTTGCGAGTTTTTACAAAGGTCTAAAAATGGTGATTTACACAACAATTTATTTTTTTTAATTCTGAACAAAATATTTAAATAATTTTGTATGATACTATACATTTTTTGAAATGACGCCGCGCTGGTCTAGCAAAAAATGGAAAATAATGAATTTTAATTGTTTTTATTTTAACTTAACCAAAAATTATGTTACAAGTAACTCAAATTGTAAAAAAAAACCCAAACAAAAATTGCATCGCCGCCTGTAGGACCGGCGGCTTAGGAAATCTTCCTAAACGTTTCCGGTGTGTGAGATAATCTATAATAATAATCTCCGTATCTATTTTTATGGTTTTTGGGCCAAGTAGCGTTGAATACAAAAATAAACTGTCAACCAATTAAATTAATTTTGGGTAGACAATAGAAGAAAAAATTTATTTTCCTCCTTTTTAATAGAACTACGAAATCTACTAAGAGGAGCGATAGAAACCTACTGAAAATATATAAAAAAATACAATTCTATATGACATAATTTTCAGAATGCAAAAAATAACCCATTAGTGTGTGGAAGTCCAAGTTTATTTTTAAAAATACGAGAAAATGTTGAAAACAACAATCTAAGTACTTTTGTATAAACACTATATCCACCATATAATTAACTTTTTCAGATTTTGACAAGCTTCAACCTAACTGCCCTTTTTTTAGTTTTTCACTTTCTATCCAGATATGCGAACTTTTGGATTAAATATAAAAATATAAATTCCGAATAAACCGGAAATGAGTTATTTTATTTGTATAAAATATAAAAAACTAAGACAGGCACAAGCAAACAGTTTTACCCTAATTTCAATCATATCAAAGTGTGAAAAATCAATTTTCGAATGTTGAAAGCTTGTTTAGATATATGGTGTTTTAAACAAAAATAATATTTTTTTTACTTGAATGTAAAAAAAATAAATTCTATATTGTTTTGATTTTTTGGCCACCCTGTATATTAAAAAATATTTTTATAATTGGCGCCTCTGTAAACTCTGTAATACTTTTATATTTGACATTTTTTCGTATTTATAAAAACAACCGAAAAATTAGACTTCCACATACTAATGGGTATACAGTTTTTTAATAAAAAAATGTCTAACCTACTGAATAATGGTTTGGTCTGAATTTGACTCCACTAAAAATACAATGCGTAACGATTCTTCCAATTAAGCTTTCTCATAGTAACATTCTTTAACTCTTGACACGCGCCACTTAAGAATGCAGTAATTTCTATTAGAGGAAATGTTTACTGTGTATATTTCTTAAGTGTCCAGAGCAATAATAACTCTTAAGTATTTTAATACATTTGCTAAGTCTCGTGATGAAAAAGCCGATGTGTTTGCTAAAAGAGGAACCGAATCTGAGTTTACTACAAAATAAATTATCGCAAAATGGACAGAGAACAGAGGACACTCATAAACTGGATACTCCAGTGCTAACTCATTCTAAGGCGTTTATTGATAGCAGGATATTGTCGTCCATGTGAAGAATAAGTCTACAACAAACACCAGATTGTCGATTGTGTAGTATACAAGACGATTTAGCAGAAAATAATGTCTGTACCGGCTCCGCATTGAAAACAACTAGGTCGCAGATCATTGGATTCACCTAAATGAAACCTACGACTTTAAAAAAGGTGTGGCTGGTATGGTGAATTATAATTTAGGTATAAGTCAATAGATCTATCTGGGCAACAGTGGAAATCATTCCATTCATTTTTAACCTAATCTAACCTAAGCCCTCTGGTTAACTGACTAATTTTTTTTTTATTTATTTACAATCAATTCTTAATAAAACAAAGAATTTTTTCTACACCCACATGGTTATTAGCTTATCTACATACAGACTACATACAGACGAAAAAATATGTCATTACGTTCAACCGAACGAATATATTTCGTATCCAATCTAGGTAGGGAGAATACTGCAAAAAAATGGAATCCACCAATCACAGTTCATATTTTGGACACACAACTACTATTATTTTTAAAATTTTAAATAAGTGACAATCCTGTCAAATTAATTGTCAGGATATTTTTTAGTTATTGAGATTAAATATACATTAAAATTAGTTATTTTTGTGTAGAATAGATAGATAATCGTAAATAACAGCATTTTTTTTTTTATTTGGACCATATTTGTAATAAAAAATAGATTTTAATCAAACTCTATGTAACTATTTTAATTACGAGTATTAAAGCCAAAATTGTAAAAGTTGACGTGGGCGTGTGGCAGTGTGCTTGACTTCACGCGAAAAGCCGGGGATCGATTCTCGGGTGGCGATATTTTTTTCTTTTCAAATTTGTTTGATTTTAAAAATCAGTAAAATTTATAAATTATTTTAAAATTAGTTATTTTGTCTTAATAACCTAAAATCTTTTTTTATTTGCAAATTTTCGTTATTGGGTCGTAGAAAAAATATTCTGTACAACTCGAGTGGATTATTCACATCGCACTCAAACGATTGAGCACTCCGCCTACGGCATCGTGCTTAAATTTCGTTTTCGTGCAATATGGTCATCATATCCTTTCTTGTTGCACAAACTACCATTTCCTTATGTTTGTACACAAAAGGATGTTACAAATACAGAGCATAACCAATTAACCATTATATTTTCACCAGGTTAAAACAGCATACTTCTACGCTCCGTCTTTAATAGTCAATTTTTATTCGATATTTTAATTTATTGTAATCTATAAATTAAAAAAAGTATTTAACAATTTTATCTTTCTCACCCATATCTAAAGAATATTTCGTAATACACTAGTTTCCAGATTCTACATTCTAAACTAATCGTTATAATTAAAACAAGTTATTAAAGAATAGCTCCAATCTTGTTAAAACCCCATTTCCAACCGAAACAAATTAATTATAGATTATTTTGAAACCCTTTTATCCAAGCTATAATTTAATACGTAAGCACTACTTAGCGATAAAATCCCTTCATAATTAAATAAAACTTTAGTTGCTTGCTTTCGGTCAAAGCACATAACTTAACAATCTAAATTATGGTATTCTTCTCTCCTTTTTTAGTCCGTCCTTGTGTATTTAATGTATTAGCTATAGCCCAATAAATAAAAGAATGGATGTATTCTAATGATGCACCGTGTTTCTGATTGCTATGCTAGCTGGACAAAAAAAAATTAATCATCCGTTTTCTAATAAAAAACAAACACTCTGTTAGATAATATGTATTATCTCTCAAAATTTTATCAAATACTATGTTATCTGTACTATCAATTCTGAGTAATAGAAGTTATATACCTATCCATTTTTTTATATCAGGTTTATAAGCAGTTATGGAGTAAAATGGTATACTAAAAGATCTAAAAAAAATTAAAAGCTACAGAAACTAATTTAAGTAATGATCTAGATATTCTGGATAATCTAGTGTTAACTCCATATATTAAGCTACTTAGTTAAATGGACTCTTTATTTGGTTCGTAAAACAAATTGAGCAGCCTATCTGGTCCAAAAGAACAACCTCATAGAAAAGAGAAACAGAGGAAACAGATAATGAATAGCTCAATTCACAGAAAGTCATTATTTTAGATTAAAAAAAGATTTGAAGCCTTAAAGGGCTACTATCAATTTGAACATTCTAAATCCCATTTTTAATGTAACCTTTTTAAAAAAACACAATTTTCCTCTAAACATTTCGGGAGATGACAACCAGTATCAAAGACTTCAAAACAAAAAATTTCCTTTACCTATTAAAAAAGTTATTAATAAGGACGACACCTGTCCAAGAATTAATTTCTTCTTAGCAAGCAAAATTATATCAAGATTGTTAAAGTAATATATTGTTTTTTCTGTTTTCCTTTGGATATAACTCTCATGTCTCATGTAGTATTAGCCAAGGAATATTTGTTTTCCGGATGGAAATGGTTGTGCCTGTTACTTTAGGACACATGACTTTAAGATTTTATTGTGATTCTTTATTTTCCTTTGCCTAATATTTAATATTTAACCATAAAAATATTCTATATGAATTTTGGTCCACCTAGATTGAGATTGGTTCTACTGTGGGACGTGCATAAAATATTGGACCTAACTAGTCGGTTAGAAAAAAAGAAGAAACATTACAGCCAAATTATAGACTGTCAAACAATCCTTTGAAATTCCAAACGAAGTGCCGACTAACGTGCCAACAATGTAGTTTGGAGGGAACTGTCGAAAACTTTTTTTGACTTGGCATTGACATTTTTCATGTCAGTTGGTAAATATTTATTTTCCCTCTTCAGAATAGAATATGTTGTCGCGAAATGCAAATTTCACAGGATACCTTTTTTGCAGTCTGAATATTTTATCGAAAAAAAGTAAATAACATGATTTTAAGGTTTTTGTGCAAAAAAATACTGTGTCGAGGTCATATGACGTAAAAATAGAGCTCGGGTCTTGAAAGCGCTCAATGGGTCAGTCAATGACTGATTAAAATGCAGAATGAAGAGTAGGTGAAACGAAAATTAACGATTATAAAAAAAATTGAATAGCGTTGTGTCATAGTTAAAAAAATATGCTTCTTACTATTAAAACAAGTAGTATGGATGCCATATTTAATAAAATAAGAACTTTTAGTCTTTTAATTAATTTTTTATTTTTGTGATATAGGTAAATCATGACATACATTTTAGTGTGCTGCTTAAGGTTGTAGGAAACTACCTTCTAAGTTTCAAAGCGAAATTTCAACTTTTTGAGGCTTTTTAAATACAGCAAATTGGAACAAAACTCAGGTTTTATTTAAATTATATTTTTAATACCTTTAATTTGATAATTTAAAAAAGAAACCAATAACTCTAAATTAACTAATTAACATTACTTATTCCTATTTTTAAAGTAGTCAAATTTTTTTTCAAACCAAATGCAACATATCTTGCCGACACCATTTTTAATAAATCCATCACTCTATTACTCTCATCACGAACCTCAATTGATGCTTCAGTTATTAGACGAACGCAACGTTTCACTGCTTGAATCTTACACAGTAATAATGGAAAATTAAAAGGACTTAGATTGGATATTAATTTGAGATTCATATCCATATGAACTGTTAGTGGTGGTCCCTTAATACTCACTTCTTTCCAAGAAATCAACTCCGAATAATGTACCACAGGGATATTAAACTCCCGTATCGTTTGTCTACCTTTACTATTCGCCTTTAGGACACGTCGTATACCAAGTTTTCTGTATCTTGGATCTTCATCCATAAGCATTAACAATAATAATTTCTGAAGATGCGCGAAAAATCTATTACATTGGATAAGGGCTAAGGGCAAATGCTCCCTATTGAAATCTTAGATTCATTTTTGCAAAAGTCTTCGTTTTTGATTTTGTTTCATCTGAACAAAAACACTATAAACAAATTTTCAAAATAAGGTTTAGGTAAACTTACGTAGAGATATAGCAACACTACTATCAGATTCAGCGCCTTCCTCTTTATCGTCTTCACTACTAAAACTGCATTCTTAAATTTTCTCTTGCATATTTGAGTAACTACAGCTAGGTTTTGGGTCTTCTACTTTACTCATTCTATGCAATTTTCTACTTTTATGTCTACTGTTACTTTAGAAAGGCTTGTTCTCTTTGGGGTACTTTTTTGATTTTTCACACTTACATGTTTAAAACTCACATTGGCAAGCAGCTATATGAAATAGCTTAAAAGCTTCTTGTTTAAATGATTTTAATGTTATTTAAATCGTTCAAATATCCTTTCTGCTTTTCAAATTTCTCTGAATAGGTTTGTAACGTTGATGAAATTTTTTCATTTTGTCCCATATTCGAATTTTAGTCACTACAGGAATTTAAGCATTAAGCCAAATTTCTTCAATTTTTGGCACAACTTGTTTTAGAATCGCACAATTGAAAGAATCCTTCTCGAAACATGTTGCACAAACAAATAATGATACATAACATCTTTAAACGTTGTAAATAAACAATATAATACCGTTCAGGCACTCTAACTAGTTAATACTTGTTATGACATGCGTGATTCCCCTGCTACTAGTGCCGGGTCATTTTAGGCTTTAACAGTCCATGTAAGCTGTATCATTTTTGGAAAATTAAATAGGTTTGAGGAACCAGAAGTCGTGGTAATACAGAAAAAATATTTAAAGTAACAAAATGTACCTATTTTCCGCTATGACAACTTTAAAATTATATTTCTTATTAATTTTTTTTATTATAGCAATTTTATGGAAAAACAGTAAAATTTAAAAAATTTAAGAACTTTGAGGAACCCCAGAATATTAAAATCTTTTAGGCAACTTTTGACACTTTTTGTTGTTTACTTATGCGCATATTTTAACAACTAAGTCACACTACTTGGATTAAAAAAGTTTTTCGTTCCACCCTAATGAAGAGCTCACATTTCTAAAACATTTGAAGTAAGCATATGGATAAATCCGATCGTTGAGAACTTCGTCTCACTTATTATGTAATTTCGGAAAAGCAGGTGGAATAGTAAAGTTTTATAGGGCTCGTTTCTATTATTCCTTTGCCATTTTTTAGGTAAAATTATAAGAGAAGTGGACATTGTAGTTTTTGATTTCTACTTTTAAAAAACATGGGTTGTCTATAAATCGTTATAAGGACGGTTAACCGTTTATTAATTTTGTTGGTTTGGTGTTTTTCTCTCTCCAACTAGGCATAATTTTCTGCAAACATTACTCATTAGGTCTTGTATAGCATATTGGGCAGTACGAAATACTAGATTTTAAATTCGAGTTATCTTTGGTCTAGTGAACTTAAAAGAGGGAAACCATTCTAGATTGCTCACATTATTTATTGTAGACAGACGGTATTTGTTTTCAACTATCTCTATCTCATAGATGTCAGTTTGATTATTTAATTTTTATTACCCATAGACGAGAGTATGTAATTTATTCGTAGTACCTAAGTTGTACATTTTATCCTTCCAAATTGTGCGCCCCACGGTTCGGCGGCATTGTTTACAAGGAATATATTATGCTGTTTCTATGTTAACTTGTTGTCAAAGGTGAGACCTAGGTACTTCACATGTGTTGCAAAGTTTAGCTTTATGTTTAGGAGTTCTGGGGGTTCTTATTCCATTTTCATCCTTTTCCTTGTGAAAAGGACCATTTCTGTCTTTTTGGGATTAATAGACAGTGAATGGTCCTTGCACCATTGTTATATAATTTTGAGAGCTACGCGCCATAGTTATCCCTCAATCATAATAATTATATTATATACCATATAATTTTATTATAAATAAATGTTGCTGTGTCTCGCACTTCGTACTTCCGAACAACTTAACCAATAAAAATGCGCTAATATTAAATTTCCCAATTAAATCATAGATGGAATTCTAAAGAATATTCCAGTTATCTGTTGCAAACAAAAATTAGGCAAGATTATTTATCTAGTTCCTATATGACCGAAGATTCCAACCATATAAAAAATGTCGCAATTAATAATGAAAATATGTAACATAGCAATATTATAAAATTTGATTTACCTACCACCTGCACTCCTCAAGGCTCTGGTTGCAAATTATAACAATTTTACAATAAATTATAGATAAAATAAACAGTTAGTTAGCTGTTACGAGAACAGTTCACGCATTGTCGGGTTGAATTAAATAAATTCGCGAGTAATTGGTTATCTTTGACCTTTTCAGGTCTTAAGGCTAATCAGACAAAATATTCTATGGGGTTACATAGTTACAAGGATAATATATTGACTAGACCGTTACAGATAGTCAACATGTGTTTAGATTAACGAGGAAAAATAATAATTATTATCTTTTATTAACAGCTTTAAATGCGGAAAACTTGAACGCACGAAATATTATTTAAGGTTGGTTGTCTCACTACGAGGGGAAGCCCAAATCTCAATAGGAAGGCAAGTTGTTTTTTTATTCATATTAACTACACAATAACGTGTTTTTAAATGCTTCTAAATTTAGAAATGAAATACCAGTTATGTGTTCGTATTTACTTTAGACAGAAATATTTGTATTCAAAAAGAACACTGAGAAATCATATATAGCAGTCAACAAACTGATTTATTTATTGATAGTCTTTAACTATATCAACAAAGTTAATATATTTTTAATGTTAATAAATAATAATTAGTGTTAACCCTACTTATTAGTTTTCAATTTAAATTTATTCTCTATTATGAAATTGTCATTTATCACTAATAATTTTACCTTGAATGACACTCAGTTCCATTTTAAAAGTAAAAGAGACTAATGTGTTGTTTCTGTAAAATTGTTAGTGTTTCATCACTAATGTGATAACAAAAAGCTTAAAATTACACGAAATGTAAAATCTACAATCTGGATTAATACCTGGGTAAAGGATGGTGAATTAAATTGGAGGCAAATTTATCCACATCAACTTCACCAATAAAATAAATATACTAGTCCCAGTACATTAGCCTTTGGATTTTGTAACTCCTGAACACACCAAACTTCTTGAGCGGCTTCATATCACTAAGTCGGACACATTTTTTTATATACTTCACCCTGGGCGAACAGACATTTGAGCCGCTAGCTCTTCGTAAAGTTGTCGTTCTGGCGTCCCTAAGGAAGTTGATACATGTACCTGCAGTTTTAATATGATTTGACGGTTTTTTATATTACATTAACGATATCACATTTGTCAGACACAAATCACATGGCTGGGGGGAGGAGGAGGAGGAGGAGGGGTCCGACACCAACAACATATCGCTGTGGCGTCCCTCAGAAAGTTGATGCATGTATTAGCAAAAAAACATTTGTAATTCGTGTAAAATTATTTATTTATTCTAATTGCTAAGCGCTTTCAAAATAACGAAATTATTAGTGCTCATCTACAAAGATTGTGGGTGTAAATATATAAAATATGTCAATATAAACTAAAAATTTGAGTCAAAAAAATTTTTTTTAATATACATGGTTATCAAAATTACAAATTATAGAAAAACTTAGTATTGGAGACAATTCTTAGGCCCTAAACCCTTAATTGTTCAAATAGAAGCTCAAAAAAGCATGTGATTGTGTAGAGATAAGGGGTTAAGCCCCAATCACTGTCCCAATTGGATTTTGTTTACAGTTAAAAACAAGTTAAACATTTCAAAAAGGGGAGAATATGTGATAAATATAATTAAAAATTGGATTGAATTTAGAGGAAGAATAAAAAATTATTATAAAAAATAGGTACAGTTAAAATAGATAACTAAAAAGTTCAGCAGTCATCTTCTTAAATAATAATAGTAATTAAGAGCGTCCCAACTTACTAAATTTTCTTATTATTTTTATTAAACTTGTTATTATAAAAATTTAAATCCATGAATACTATATTTGATTAAAATTTAATTGATTTAGTTTTCAGTAATCCCCACCTTTAGGCGGTTAAAGTGACAGCGGTGACAGGTGACACCTGTTGGCGCTGGTATGACAAATGTTTAAAGAGAATAGTGCGTTCTCTCGCCAGTGTAAATCAAAATACTCCAGGTGTATTTCAAGTGAGAGTGGAGATGGAGAGAAAAATAGGGAATTATAATTATTATTTTATTTTTTAAATGTCTGAAGGAATAGAAGGTTACTTAGGTAATCGAAAGATTTAAAAAGTTAAATATGAATTTATACGTTTAATTGTATTGTCACGTGGAGCCAACCCTGGTAAGCGCGACCTTGGAAGTCTTCTACTCGATTCATGACCGAAGCATCGCTGACGTGTGAAGACAGTCGGACAGCGTCTCAATAATAGAACGGGCGATGCGTGCCACTGAATCAGAGATGGAATTTTCGGGAGCATCTAGAGACTTCTCTTAGCAGAGTTGCACATCGTATAAATAGCCCTACTCATCGGCGATCAGCTTTTAGTTTAGTTTAGAGCATTTGAATAAAAAGTTAAAGTGTAATAAATAAATTAGAATTGTTAGTTAGTGTCTAAGTATTATATAAATTAAATAGTACGTCATAAATAAATTGTATATAGTGTGTTTCAAATAAACTATAAATAAATTAGACTTTCGTTACAGTATGATTGATAATGTTGAAATGTTTTGAGGAAGTTATAATTAAAGATTGATCCAAATTAATTTTTTTTTATTTATGTATATTTTTTGAGCTATACAAAAAAATGTTTGATTCAACGTCAAGACAAAGCAACAATATCAAAAAGAAATTTTTGTTAAGATTGACTTGAGTGTTGAGACAAAGGTTGTTGTTGTCTTTTCCGAGTCTAATTTCAACATCTTT